CCCATATAGCTTTTAAACTACTGACAAATCTCAAGTAGGAAAATAAGAAAGGCGTGGAGGGCATTTGATAGAAATTGCCTTGAAAAATCTGCAAATTAAGATGTTAGAAGCTAAATCTTGGACAAGAAAATGGCTGGCATTTGGACTTTAGGCCAGACTGAAAACTATCTTGTAAAAAAGAAAGAATGCAGGGAATATGAGGTTCAGAAAAAAGACAATCTCTATCAAAACACCAATGAAGAATCGTTTGCCATATCCGGAGATAGATTCTCCTTGTAGATTTACTAGAGAATGATCTCAGTCATGTAGTCATTAATACCATGTTCTTTAAGTATTATCCTTGCAGCAGCAGCCAAGCCGTCAGTCCGAAGATCTTTAAAGTTTCTACTGGCAGATCTTTGTTTTCCAGGATGTGCTCTGCATACGAAAGCTCCCAATGTGTCAATGCCACTTGTTTTAACTCTGAGAACCAGCTCCTGCTTGGGTAGTATGGGATAATTGTCAACACTCTTGCTTTGTCTGACCTGATCAAACAGGAATTAATTTGATAATCTGATAATATATAGCAACTGTGTCAGGTCATTATTGGATTTTACCACCAGACTATCTTCTAAAGTCTGCAACCACAAGCTCTGTGCCTTCACCAATGATGCTCCTGAAATGGCTGCTTTACCATGATAACCTGCTGCTTGAAAGATGCTTCTGCATGAGGTTTCTGCATGTTTATCCATAGGAACTTTGAGGCCAGAAACCTCTCTGATGGTCTGGCCTTGATGGTGGTGATGAATCTGGTGAGGATATTGCCATTTCCCCCAGCACTGCAAACATTGCACTTTTACCTCTGGCCCAGGAGCAACTCAACTAAAAACCAATAGAGGAGAAATTAGGCACCAGTTCACAATTTATTTTATCAAGTAGCATGCACTTACCTTCTGCATCTTTTCTTTAGAATTGCCTGATCCAAAAGAGACAGTTTTGACAGCTGCCACATGTAGCTCCACTGTCAATAATTATTCCTGCTGCTGCTCCCAATTTTTTAAATTGCCTTTTTTAATTGTAAAAAAAAGTACTTAGGCTTGCTGGAGTTTAGGATGTTCCCTTTAGTCCTATTTAAATAATGTGCCTATTTATAAGAAAGCACTTTCATAAAAGAGGATGGTTTCACCCCTGACTATAAAGCTGACACCCATGAAAGCTCCCTTTCTTTGGATTAGAAAATAGGGCTTGCAAAAGAGCAATTAGATGGACTAAACTTGAAAACAGAGCTGTGATCCCTCCATAGAGCATATCTCATACACCTTAGAATCTGCTTGTGGGAGTGCCTTAAATGTATTTATTAACTAGTTCCCATGTCAATCAAAATCCTCCTCATTTTTGTGTCCCCCACCCCACTAAGTAGTTCAGACCATTCCAAAAATTAAATGCTATATCTTCAACTTTCAAAATACCAATCAAGATCTAAACTTAAATAATGCACTTTGTTCCTATAGAAATGTAAAAAAAAAAATATATATATTTTTAATACAATCCAGGTGTCACAGTTTACCAGGAGTTGGAGCCCAGGTGCAGGAGATGGCACAAGGAGGAGGCCAAAACCAAAGCGCAGTACAGATGAAGGGGTAATCCAAAGGCAGGTTCAGACGAGAAGCAGAGGTCAGAGCCCAGGAAATCAGTCAGCAGAGTAACAAAGATCCGGCAGAAAAAAACAACCAACCAGAATCCAGGCCTCAGGCAGAGCTGGCTTTTACAGTCTGCTGATTAGGACCCGCTGACCCTAATTGGTAAGGGGCTACAGGTAGATTAGCACTGCTCCATCCAGGCAAAGGAGTCAGGTAGCAGAATAATGCAGACAGATACTAGATCCCCTAGTGGAATGCATGGTAGAAAACCTGATTGGGATACTGGAGCTATGAGTTCAAATCCAGCCAGGTCTCTTAACCCCTTAAGGACTGAGCCAAATGCACACGTTGTAAACAAAACCTGGCATTTGCGCTACATGTCTGTCCAACCATAATTCACCTCTTTCATATTAAATGCACCCACCCTTATTATATATCATTTTATTCAGGGGAAACAGGGCTTTCATTTAATATCAAACATTTAGCTATGAAACATAATTTAATATGAAAAAAATGGGAGAGAATAAGATTTTAAAAAAAATTTTAGTTCTACATGACATTTTAACTGTCAATGTCATAATACTGTTTGCTTTTACAGCAATAAAATACACATATTTGTATTCAGCAAAGTCTAACATGTAAAACAGTACCCCCTATGCACAGGTTTTATGGCGTTTTGGGAAGTTACACGGTCAAATATAGCACATTACATTTGAAATTGAAATTCGCCAGATTGGTTACGTTGCTTTTGAGACTGTATAGTAGCCCAGGAATGAAATTTACACCCATAATGGCATACCATTTGCAATAGTAGACAACCCAAGGTATTGCAAATGGGGTATGTCCAGTCTTTTTTAGTAGCCATTTGGTCACAAACACTGGCCAAAGTTAGCATTAGTATTTGTTTGTGTGTGAAAAATGCAAAGAACGCCAATTTTGTCCAGTGTTTGTGACTAAGTGACTACTTAAAAAGACTGGACATACCCCATTTGCAATACCTTGGATTGTCTACTATTGCAAATGGTATGCCATCATAGGGGTAATTTTCATTTTTGGGCTACCATAGGGTTCAAAGGCAACGTACCCAATCTGGCGAATTTTAATGTGAAAAAAATGAAACACAAGCCTTATATTTGACGCTGTAACTTTTGAAAACATCATAAAACCTATACATGAGGGGTACTGTTGTACTCATGAGACTTCGCTGAACACAAATATATGTGTTTCAAAACAGTAAAAAGTATTGCAGCAATAATATCGTCCGTGTAAGTGCTGTTTCTGCGTGAAAAATGCAAAATACGTCACTTTTACTGGCGATATCATCGTTGTAATACATTTTACTGTTTTGAAACACTAATATTTGTATTCTGCAAAGTCCCCCGAGTAGAACAGTACCCCCCATGTACAGGTTTTATGGTGTCTTGGAAAGTTATAGGGTTAAATATAGTGCTAGCAAATTAAATTCCCTTTACTTTCGGCATGGGTTGTCAGGCAGGTCCCGCTAATTGTAATTAATTAAGATACCCAATTATGTAAAAATATTACATAAATATATATGTAGAATTAATATATGTATATATCAATGTATGTGAATATATATGTATATATATATATATATATATATATATATAATTTTTAAAAAATATTTTTATTTATATATAGGTATATATATAGTGATATATACGTATATATTTATGTATATAGATATATATATTATTTCGTTCTATGTGTATTTTGATATAAATATGTATATATTAATATCACAATACAGTTAGAATGAAATAACACACATCTATATATTTTTTAATAATTTTTTTAATTATTGTTTTTATTTTATTTTTTAACATATTTACATATTTAATTTTTTTATATTATATATAAATATATATATATAACAATAATTATATATATATTTAATCAATATCAGTCTACGTGTAATTTGATATTAATATATATATATATATAATTATATATATATATTAATAGTAAAATACACCTAGACAGTGTATGAGTGTGTATGTATATGTGTATATATATATATATATACTTAGATTATATATATATATAATATATATATATTTTTTTTTTACACTTATTAATTTATTTTAATTTTATTTCTAGCCAGCAGGGGGACCACCTGTCATTACAGGCAGCCCCCCTGCTGGCAATGCAGGAGGCAGCCTACCTGGCCATTTGATTGTGAGGTCCTCGCAAGGACCTCACTCTCACATGGCCGGGGGGGAGGGGGGCCGGAGGAGGAGGATCTGCTGCGGGGGGGCTCCCTGGGAGTCCCCCCACCGCGATCGCCGACGTGGGATCGCCGGCGACCGGGTAAGTAAGGAAAGACCGGAGGGCGTACTATTACGCCCGGCGGCGTTTAGAGCCGCCTGAAATAGGGCGTAATAGTACGCCCTCGGGTCTTAAGGACCAAACTTCTGGAATAAAAGGGAAACATGACATGTCACACATGTTATGTGTCCTTAAGGGGTTAAAATGGCAGCCACATCTTGCTGTCTGCAGGGTTCAGGGTGCACCATGACACCAGGAAGATAGATTGCCATTTGTACATAATGTTGAACGTTTTTACCTAAAATCTTGAACTTTTGGATCACTCCACAGAGCATGAATGCTGTTCTCATTTTCCCACATCATCCAGATTGATTAGTTAAACAGACACTAACATAACCTGCTATTACTGGAGCTATGTCATATCTCTCGAGGAATGTGAATTAAAAATACATGAAAATAGCCATGCTTAAGCTGTTTAATTTTTTTTACAGTGTTAATACTATAATATTCTTGACCTAGCCAATGAAAACATTGAGAGATGTTTTTAGGCAAGCCAAATCACGCATTTAATAGATATTCCAGTGCTCAGATCTAAAATTTGCATCTGTAAAGCATATTGAAAGCTATGAAATCTTTTGCAAAACACATGAAATATGCTGCATTATAAAGCATAATACTAGATTCCAACGCCCTCAGTTTGACATAGATGGAAGTATTTAAAAGTTATAAATAAAAATCTTTACTAAACAAAGAAATATTTAACATTAGATATTTAATATTTACAATAAACTCTTTATGGTCTTTGTCACATTTTTTTTTCTTATGTAACATTCGGTATAAAGTACCAGTTAAGAAGAAAACTAGTCACTGGTATCATATTCCTATAGACTGTAAGCTCGTTTGAGCTGGGTCCTCTTCAACCTATTGTTCCTGTAAGTTTTAATATTGTAAAGCGCTACGGAATCTGTTGGCTCTATATTAATGGCAACAATAATAATATTTAACACACGTTATTACATCTGCATACCAGAAATCATAGACAGGGTTTTTTTGAGTAGGAATTTGGTAAGGACAAAGCCAAGAGGAGCCAGAGAATTAATAAGATGAAGTATAGAGTACATAGTCATCACACGAGGAGACAGGGAAAAGTACATGTGAAAGAGGTAGCATAGAATAGCCTCTCAACTGAACCGGGAGTAGCCTGGAATCATGTACAAAATAACTTATGCAGTAAGAGAAATAGGTAAAACAGCATGAGAGAAAGTAGGTGGGAGAAGTGCTTGAAATGAAAGGGAAGAGGAGAGGAAAAAAGGAATATTTTGGATCCAATGCAAAAACAGATATGAGAAAGTCTGAATTTGATGGATGCATATGTAGTACATAATCACTTAGCAGGTGCTAATGTACGGTTGGCAATATTTTCTTGCAAAGTAAGCATTATGCTTCAATACAATAATTATTTCTTGTAATCGTGAATCCAAATGACAAATAGCTGTCATCATATTTTTGTTTCTTTATTTGAGAAGATTGTATAGCATTGTGTGCATTTCATTGTTAACAGTTGATTCAACTATTTCGGACCGGAATTCCTGATTTAGTGTTGTATCTTCTTTCTCCATTTCTATAAATCCAAACAATTACAAGTAGTAATTTTTCTCTTGAAAGTTTCATCCTTTAGCTAGCTGTTAAAATTCATGGTTGTTGGTTCAGTCTTGGAGCAGAGATAACACTTCTTTAACCTGGAAAAATACAGATTTCACTACATGACTACAAAGGATGTGGTTTTGTTCTCAACTCTTAGTAAGCAAGTAAAGCACCCTTTCTTTTTGGACCAGTATTGGAACAAAATGCACTGCTGTTTAACTTCAAAGTAAACAGATTGTTGTACTTTGAAGCAGAAGCTATTAATAAGATTTGGGTGTGTGTGGGGTGGGGGGGGCTAAACAGTAATTCCTACAAATAATAAACAGATTGTAGTACTTGTAAGTGTAATATTTTCTATTTTTAAATAAAATGATTTCTAATGAAGTTTACAAAAAAAAACCCAAGTAAATTTTGGCTAATACAAATATTTTCAGCAGCACACTTTTAACGAGCACAGTCTGACTCTAAAAATGAAAGATTATCCTCTGACACTAAATTGGGTGCGAATCTAAAGGGCAGCTTAGTAAAACTAATAATTTCCCTCCTACGTAAAACCAGATTGGGCACAATACTTATTAAAAAAAATAAGAGGTTTTCTACACGTGATTGTCCTTTATCAATGCTCGCAACCAACTCAGTGAGTCTGCAATGGCCAACGGCAGGAGAGTATAAAATCACATCCTTGCGATCTCTGCTGCTTTCGACTACCAGGAACAGCGAAAAGTGGTGGCCATCTTGAATGTTGCGAAATGCTGATTATATACACACACACACACTGCTCAAAAAAATAAAATAAAGGGAACACAAAAATAACATCCTAGATGTGAATGAATTAAATATTCTTCTGAAATACTTTGTTCTTTACATAGTTGAATGTGCTGACAACAAAATCACACAAAAATTTAAAAAAATGGAAATCAAATTTTTCAACCCATGGAGGTTTGGATTTGGAGTCACACTCAAAATTAAAGTGGAAAAACACACTACAGGCTGATACAACTTTGATGTAATGTCCTTAAAACAAGTCAAAATGAGGCTCAGTGGTAGGTGTGGCCTCCACGTGCCTGTATGACCTCCTTACAACGCCTGTGCATGCCATTGATGAGGTGGCGGATGGTCTCCTGGGGGATCTCCTCCCATCTGCCAACTCCTGGCCAGTCTATGGTGCAACGTGACGTTGGTGGATGGAGCGAGACATGATGTCCCAGATGTGCTCAATTGGATTCAGGTCTGGGGAACGGGCGGGCCAGTCCATAGCATCAATGCCTTCATCTTGCAGGAACTGCTGACACACTCCAGCCACATGAGGTCTAGCATTGTCTTGCATTAGGAGGAACCCAGGGCCAACCGCACCAGCATATGGTCTCACAAGGGGTCTGAGGATCCCATCTCAGTACCTAATGGCAGTCAGGCTACCTCTGGCGAGCTGTGCGGCCACCCCACACCAAACCGGTCATGCTGGAGAATGTTGCAGTCAGCAGAATGTTCTCCACGGCGTCTCCAGACTGTCACATGTGCTCAGTGTAAACCTGCTTTCATCGTGAAGAGCACAGTGCGCCAGTGGCAAATTTGCCAATCTTGGTGTTCTCTGGCAAATGCCAAACGTCCTGCACGGTGTTGGGCTGTAAGCACAACCCCCACCTGTGGACATTGGGCCCTCATGGAGTCTGTTTCTGACCGTTTGAGCAGACACATGCACATTTGTGGCCTGCTGGAGGTCATTTTGCAGGGCTCTGGCAGTGCTCCTCCTGATCCTCCTTGCAAAAAGGCAGAGGCAACGGTCCTGCTGCTGGGTTGTTGCCCTCCTGCGGCCTCCTCCTCGTCTCCTGATGTACTGGCCTTTCGCCTGGTAGCGCCTTCATGCTCTGGACACTACGCTGACAGACACAGCAAACCTTGCCACAGCTGGCATTGATGTGCCTTCCAGGATGAGCTGCACTACCTTAGCCACTTGTGTGGATTGTAGACTCCGTCTCATGCTACCACTAGAATGAAAGCACCGCCAGCATTCAAAAGTGACCAAAACATCAGCCAGGAAGCATAGGAACTGAGAAGTGGTCTGTGGTCACCACCAGCAGAACCACTCTTTTATTGGGGGTGTCTTGCTAATTGCCTATAATTTCCATCTGTTGTCCATCCCATTTGCACAACAGCATGTGAAATTGATTGTCACTCAGTGTTGCTTAATATCTCTTTCTCTCTATATATACATACATTATATATATATATATATATATATATATATATATATATATATATATACACACACACACACACTTTTTAATTGTTATATTTTGTTTTCTATTTTTATGATATATATAATGTAGCTCAACATTATAGTTTGAGATATTTGCTGCATTTTTTTATGGCTTTAGAAAGTCAACACATAATATATGTTTGTGCATATAATGCATAATGAATGTTATCTTAAAGCCCACCGAAATTGCATTCACAGTGCTTTATATTGAGTGCAAGTAATTATGATCACTTTAGCATTCCATCTCTTTATCCAAGCAACCACCACCTACATTTAATAAGAATTTAAGTAACCGGATTTTTGGGCAACATATTTAGAACTAGCATAAAATAGAATACAGCAATAACAGAACAATGGATTTAGCTAAACCGGTCATAGGTTAATTTCTTTTGTGTGTATTTCATATAAATAAAAATGAATTAAAAAACAAAACAAAAAAACCCTAGAACCTGCTATAACCAATGGGTAAACTGTAAACTTTAATGCAAGCTTTCTTTCTGTCATTTAAAATAGATTAATGGACTCCTTTTAAAACAGACATATAGTACTTGTTTTTCCATAAAGATAGTATTTTTATTTAAAAAAAACTGCCTATGTGCTGCACTTGAACCCTTTGTGAATTTCCAGGTATGCTTCATCAAACACTAAAAATATAGGAAACAATTAATCCTTTAGTTTCAATGTCAGATATAAGTCAGTCCAGTATTAGGGATCCGTTGTTTGCCTTGATTTCCTTAGGAAACAATATCAGTGATTAATTGAAGTTATAGAGACAGCTAAGTACATGTGATCACTGTGTCCAGCTCTCACAGTGGTCACTGAACCTGTGAGTCAATATATCGAACAGTGAACAGTTAGTGTTTTGTGTCAACATTAGAACACTTTTGCATTTTGACCATATGAACTAGGATCTTTAAATATTAAAAGACACAAGGCCAACAAGATTTAAAATTAAAACTCAGTATATACTTACAAACAAATCAAATGTATTGCCAACTATGATAAAAATTTGGTGTAGACAAGTTAAAAGACTTAAAATGCCTCACGTAAAATAATCCATGTGGTCTGTGTTATAAAAGAGGCTGTGATGTGTCCAGTAAAAAGCTGAAACTGGCAAATCTGTGCACTCATGGGCACTCTGACCAGTATGCGGCTAAGCAGCCCCATATGCCATGCTATCATCGCCAGCATACGTTTTTCATCAGTTTGAGCTACAGTAGCTCTTCTTTGTGATTCGACCACAGGGGATAGTCTTAACTCCCTACTTGCACCAATGAGGCTTGGGCACCCATGACCTTGACAGCAGTTCACTGGTTTGCCTTCCTTGCACCACTTTTAGTAGGTATGAACCACTGCATGCCAGGAACACTGCAGAAGACTTGCCAGTTTTGGAGATGCCCTGATCCAGCCATCACTAATTGGTCCATGTCAAAGTCACTCAAACCTTTTCGCTTGCCCACTTTTCCTACTTCCAACACATGAGATTCAAGAATGGACGCTTTACTTGTTACATAATATCCCAACCCTTGACAGATGCCATTGTAATGCTATAATCATTGGTTTTAATATTATGACTGATCAGTGTATATGTGGCATTAATACTATTAGAGTGGATTTTTCAAACAAGAATCCATTATTTCCAAAATTTGGAAATTAAATGATTAGGACAACCATCTGAAGAAATTGGAAAATAATCCCTGTACACAGAAAAAGAACAGAGGCAGCAGAGCTTTACTCACTATACTCCAAATTATAGAGAATTATAAAATGAATAGCAACATTAAGATTAAAATTACCAAGGTGAGATGGTAGCTGAATTAGAGTTTTTTGCCCCCCACAGCTATTTTAGCAACTGTATTTATTGAATTTATTTTGGTATAATCCAGTGTTTAGTGAATTCTTTCCTCGGTTTCATATCCCCACCATCCTAACAAGGATATCATCTAGGGGGTCCCCCTGTGTTATATTCTACATTTTAAAGGAATTATATAGTGCAAAGAAAACAAAGTTGTATTCTTGACATTATTGCGCCCTATGGCCCCCACACTCCTAGCATATAAAGGTTTAAAGAAAAACCTTTGTTTACTCACCGGATTCCAGCACTGATCTCCCACGCACTAGTCCATACAAAGAGGAAAGCATTACTTCAATCTTATCCTATGGGGATTTTTTTTTTTTGATGCAGAATGTTTTCATGCAGAGCATCCAGTGTTAGTCTGGCAATTAAAAGGATCCATTAAGAGTATCTAGTGGCTGACAGAAACTAGAAACAGCCTTAGTCCTGCAAGGTTATCTCTAAAACTGCAATGATTTACGTTGCAGGACTAAGGGGGACAGGGCACCCAGACTGCTTCAATGAGTTATTATAAGATCATTGTTTCAAATATGTAAAATAATATATTTGTAAAAATATAAATAAAATAAATAAAAGTCCAAGTAATTTAGCACTGGTCCAGACAGGGTAATCCACCAAGAGTAGGAAAAGTTATTTTTAGGCCAACAAATGGGATGGGTAATCACGAGCATAGGCTTGTACTTCGATGGAATATGTGGAGAGGAAACAGAAGAAAAAGAACTCCAATGGTATAGTATATTAAAAAACAAAACAAAAAAAAAACCCTAGGGCGATCATCGCTGATGAAGTGGAGGCCCCCACAGTGGCGATCAAGCATACGACGAGGTACAGCGACATGCAAACTGACAGAGAGGAAGGTGCAGAGAATGACCAAAATTGGACCCCCTGCAACCACCTGGCCCCCACATGAGCTCAAGGCCCTGAGGGACTGCCTAGCAGATTACCTGCGCTTCCCGATGTCAGGAGTCAGTTGAACATGGACTGAACATGCCCTTCCGTGCCTAAGTTACCAGACCCGCTATTCACCAATAGCAGCCACCTTACCTGATTGGGCAAACTGTTAAATGCTTTAACCCATGGTTTTTACCCCGTTCTTTTATATAATCAGATGACCTAGCTAGCATCTCATATTTTCCACTCTTTGTCCCTCTGTAGAGTATATTTCATACTTCAGCACCCACATAAGCTCAGCCTGTAACATTCAGCTTCTTGCTCACTGACAATACAGTAGAACATGCGCACTTACTAAGCTAGACTTATAGTGTTTCACTACAATATGTTTACCCGTATTGAGCTGGATCACACATACACTTTTATTGGCTGAAGAGCTTAGGAGTTCCCCATATCTGCAGCTCTCGCACATGATTTATGTCTCCACTTTAACTCCTCATAAAGATTCTTATCCCCAATATTATAAAATTGTGCATGTCTAACTTAATACCCCAAGTGTAACATATGATGTTTGCTTCGAGGATTGCCGTTGGGGTACCTCGAAATTGTATGTTATAAATTTTTATGGAATAATCCCCACTCAAGGCTATACAGAATTCCTCAGGTTTCTTATTGTATACTAGTTTCTACTTGAAGCCTGTACAGGCGAAACACATCTAGAAACCTTTTTACTCTGTTTAAATAAAAGGAATTTTTTGGCTTCATACCATAGCTGCCATATTCCTATTTCTTTTATTTTAAATACCCGACATCTTTGCTTTTTATTGTTCCCAAGAAGCACAAAAAAATCCTTAGGTGGGGATACCACCCATACGCTATACACCGAGCAGTGAGCCTGCTCGGTATACGCTAAGTACATTTCATATTTTTATTTCTTCACTTAAAGATACAATGAACACTATATTCTATTATCCCTTTTCTTTTTGGTGTACTACTCTGCCATATTTGGTAACCTGAAGAACCCTGTATATCCTTGAGTGGGGATTATTCCACTTCATGTGTTCCATACCAGAGTTGGATTTAAACTCTGGATAGTGTGTGTAATTCCATATTATAGATACCCAGCGTTTTTTATTTACTATACCATTAGAGTCCTTTTTCTTCTGTTTCCTCTCCACATTTTCCATCGAAGTACAAGCCTATACTCGTGATTACCTATCCCGTTTGTTGGCCTAAAAATAACTTTTCCTACTGTTGGTGGATTACCCTGTCCTGACTAGTGCTGAGTTACCTGGACTATTTTATTTACATTTTTACAAATATATTCTAACAATGATCTTACACTAATACTATCCTTTGAAGGTGCATCCTTTTTCCTTATCACATATTTTGGGGGGTACAAGAGGGGATCCCTCTTCCTACACTCTTCATATTAGATTTCCTGTGGCGTGTTAACGCTGACCCTCATCCTGACTTTTCTTTAAATAATCATAAAACGTGCATTTTTATTACTCTTCAACTTCTCTACCATGCTGTCTCACACACTTTTCTTTCATCCTCCTAATCAATCACTATACTCAACTTTTATTTCCTAGTAATGTATTCTAACAGCATAGGGGCCTAAAAGACTTGCTTTAGGAAATAAATTTCAGCTCACTGGAAGTCTGGGGCCATAAATTAGAAATAGTTTGTCTAGATTTTACAATTAAAAGTTAACTTTTGGCACCAACACAAGCACATTTGATAGGTTTGGCTGTAAGGCTGAATTTTCCCCTCTACAGTAAAAATCAAGGTAGGTTTGCATAAAGAAAACGAGAGAAAAAAAAACAACAAAAAAAACCCTGCAGCGTAAATTTGGGGTCTGTAGTGCAATGTTGTGGTTTCATAACAATCACTATATGACTGCAAGATAACCGTATCTGATATGGATCGATACTCCAATTACACATTTATTTCCACATAAAAATGTAAGTATAACTTTTGCTGGAGCCTAATCTACATATCTAATAAACATGTCCTGGACAAAGTTAATATATATTTGATACAAGGCTTAAAATGTCAAACCCTACACTACAAGCTAGGCTTTAAAAATACATTCAGCCCTGCAAACCTACAGGGTATATACAACCAGTGTTAATAAGTTTCTACTTGCAGGGGTCTGGTTTTCACTTACCAATGACAAATGGAAACACTAAGCCATGATTTAATAAGTGCATGCATATAGAGTGAGCGTGTGTTTAAACCTTCAGCTTTTCATTTCCAATGGGAGCCAATGTTTCAATTTCCTTAAATTATCAAGCCAAACAGTGCTACCCTTGATCAATGTTGCATTAGAAAACAGTAATAAAGAAACAAAGTTGAATACAAGACCCTCCATATGCACATGTTATCCTGGTGCATGGACTATTCAAATGGTTCATTTAGGAGGATTACAAAAAAAAATAATAGAAGAAATCCAGCTGTCTTCTCCAAGAAGTGAGATTTAAATGCACAGCAAGCTGTATATCTTTAAAATTCCCATTTATATGTTCTCTTGAAATTCAATGGAAATGTCTACAAAACAAATTCACCAAACATAGAATGGGAGACCAGATAACTGGATTCTTATTGAGGGCACAGGATACAGATAAGAGCCACAGGAACATACCTGCTTGTAGACTTTGCCAGAGAATACACCAGAAGCCTATATAATTGAGCTGCAAATGGACATGCACTTGCAGCTTGTCTATCTCTCAATAAGCTACAGTACTGACCATTGAGAAGATAGGTAAACACATCACCATCATGCCTACTGCATCTGTTAGCACCACAGAGCCAATGGAAGAAAATCCTCATAGTTGAGTGAAAGAGAGGGAAATGTTTCTTGCCCATAACTAAAATTAATGCAGTTTTCTATTGAAACAGAACCGTCCCATAGAAGTAAGAATTCTGACAAAGCATTTGAGCAAAGTTAATAGATTTAGGTGTTTGAAGCATTCCTTTTAAAAAACAAACCATTTTAAACAGCAAAAATGTTACTCAATATGTAGTCAAACAGCTATCATGTTAGACCAACTGCACTCAAATGTGGTTAAAAGTCACATGACTAAATTTAAAGTGAGCAACAATCAGATGATAAAAAGTAATGTAACTGCCCTATTGTGTACCTATAACTCAAAAGACATTTAAAAACTATATTTAACACTAAAGAAGAGGGAAACTGAGTGAACATTTATTTCTGAAGGAAAAAAAAAAAAATAAATGTTGCAACTAGAAAGCTTCTATATGACAATCAGAGTTCAATTCTATGACAGAAACCGTCAATGGAGTCATTTCACTTCATATCTGAAAAGCTGATGTTTTAGCAGATTTCAATCTGTTATCTGTAACTGAAGATAATGCATGTTAAGGGGGGACGGGGGACTTGCACACACCCACTGTACTGCAAGCATGCAATTTTCCCTCCCTGAACGTGTCCGTTTAATGCATCTTTTGGTCTGAAAGTGCTTGCCCAACAAAACTCTTTGACCCCTCGTGCTAAATTTTAGACATAGTGGGGGAATGTGTAGTGTTTTAAAGAGTGATGCAAAGTCTAAAAGAGAGGAGACTGCCAAAGAAACCATTGGAATCCAAAGCATTCTAATGGCAACTGAACCGCTTTTGAAATAACTACTTAAAAAAAAAAATCTTTGATAACGTATGAATGCACATTTAGACCATGCAAGGTGATTACTCAGAAATCAAGTAGGAATAAAACGGTTGTGCCGAGGCAGGGAAAACTGCAAGCTACTGTAATTATTTCTCCTTTAGCTTTTCACACAAGTTTATTCTAATTAAATTTTCTCTCTATAATTGTAAATGTACACTAAATTCTTCAAAATTCTACAAGATATAGCACTTAAAACTACTGAAGAAAACCCATGCACAAATGTTAAATGAACAGACACAAAAAGCAATAAATGGGGTTCCAGTTAGAACCTACTTTATTTCAAGAATTAAGCTTCTTACCGGTCAATGAATGAAGTTACAAAGACTGTGAAACAAATGTAAATAACATTTATGTTAAGTAAACGTTTAATCTACCCATATTGCAAAGCCCTGACAGACTGAAGATTGACACGTCTCTGTTGAAAGGTTAGTATTACAATAAATTCATTTCATGTGTAAGTTGTGTTCCGACGACACTACAATGCCAATTCTTGCAAATATTTCACACAAACCAAATTAAAAAAAAAAAAAAAAGCACATTGAACCTTCAACCAAAAAGACCCAGTGTGAACATGAAATGACCTGCTCTTTTCGTACTGGCCACTCTACTCTGCCATAGTACCTTAATGGATAAAACAGAATATAGCTTAAGTTTCAGAAATATAAACCAGCAGGTAAATAATGATCATTTAAAATTGTCACACATACAAAAAAAAAAAAAACTATAAAATGTTTCAGAATGCTATGGCAATTACAAAAGGGAATTCCTGATGCCATTGTCTCCACCTGCAGCTGACCCCCAGCACTAGCAAGGCAGTAGCTTGCGCAGTTATCTCCACAGCGGGCAGTGTCACAACCCGACCAACAGCACAAACTACTACCTCAGCCAGGACTGGAGAACATGGCAGTCCTACATAAAAAAAAAAAGAAAAGTCTACATATATTTGAGTAAAAAAAATTAAACGGCTAGACACGTGGTTAGGTCAGTGTTGGCCAAAAGGCTGTCAAACTACAAACCCCATGACCCTACATCAGCTTTAAGCGTATCAAAGCATTGTGGGCATTATAGTTCTAAAACACATGGTATCTTCACCTTTCGGCCACCCCTGCTCCTTTGTATCAAGTCCAGACATCAGACAGCCTCCTCACCCTGGCTGTGCAAGCCAGGAGCCCCTCCTAGCTTGACTTGGCACTTTTCCTTGCATGACCCAAGACTGGCATGACAAGCTCTCATTGATTAGATCCATTACCAGGCCTGGCTGGGGGATATCATGCACTCTCCAACATGGGGAATATGTCCTCAACATGCAGGGGCTTTTACTCTCTATACTCCAAATTGGTCATTATTAAAAAAAGTTCACAGTGATATTCACTAAACCCCTTATTAAACTGTAATGGCAGAATTTAGCCCAACTTAGCTGACCTGTGACTAAACATGAAGATAGATATAGGCTGACAGGCGATGGTTAGTGAATAGCTGCGAGCATTGACTGCACCCCGGTATAGACAGACCGTATAATAAACCGAATATCACAGGCTTAGCTGATCTCCCCCCCGGGCCGGGAACGGACAGCAGACGGTTACAGGACAATGCCCGGGGCCACGTGACATCGGTAAACCGGTTAGAGGGGCGCGAGGCGGCTGTCCTGAGGAAACCGGGATGGCAGGAGAGACACACGCGAACCGGGGAGAGGCGCGCACCGGGAGTCTCGTGGGGGGGGCTTCTGGTGAGGGGGGGCACTGGCGGTGTGGGGGTTCTGGTGAGGTGGGCACTGGCGGTGTGGGGGTTCTGGTGAGGGGGGCACTGGCGGTGTGGGGGGTGGTGAGGGGCACTGGCGGTGTGAGGGATTCTGGAGTGGGGGTATGATGGAGACCGGGAGCCTCGTGGGGGGATTGGCAACATTGTGGCGGGTTGGGGGCGCCCGGAGAGGACCAGGAGGGAGCCCTCCGCATAACACGTGCAGCCGGCCGGGGAGGGGGGTTGCTCGGATCCCTCGTTCTCGGCGGCCCCGCTCTCCCGGTCAGAGATAGAAGCCATGCCAGTCAGGGTACCGAGCCCGGCGATGGCGGTGACCCCGCCCGGGCAGAGTCCGAGCCTTCCTCCGAGCCTTCAGCCTGCCCGAGGGAGCTCCTGCCGCACCGTGCCAGCCAGCACGCCGTCCTGCGGTGCCCCCGCTCCGGGGAAGATGGACGCTGTCTGTCTGGCAGTCCGAGCCCCGCAGCCTCTCCCACACGCACAGCCAGCGCCACGCTCTCTGCTGCTCCCTCTCCTGCAGGCTGCATGAAATTCGCGGGAAGCGTCAGGCTGGGCGGGAACTAGAGCCCAAGGGCAAGCCGTGCCGCGAAGGCTGTCGGGAAATGTAGTCCTTACACCCCCCCCCCCTCCCATTAGTGCCATGTGACTGCTGCCAGGAGGAGGGTGGAGGGCCAGATACCGCTGTCACTTACAGGGTTAAACATTGTCAGGCTCACTTACGAATTTATTCCGTTTGCAGATTATTAATAATTTACCATGAAATTGAAAAGACTTGATAGATTAAACAAACAACAAAATAAAAACACAGTTGTTTAAAAGTGGCATTAGACGTGGAAATACGGAACTAGTTATAGTCTTTGCTTTAGGTATTTTTATTTATTTATTTTTTATCCTAAATACAAGTCACTTTTCAGCTCTTCACCATTGCTGTTTAATGAGTAAACCCCAGTAAAATATACTTTACTTTTTTAAAATATTCCCCCCACCCCCTCTTTTCGTCATGTTTATTGTAATTGAGAAAAGGAACTACAGATTTTAGGCTAAAATAACCAAACAGATAAAATAGAACTAGAAGTTGTGTTACATTTTTAGTACTCTTCTACATTCCTAACAATTCCTGGTTTGGCAAATATCCTTGAAAATACTTTGTGGTGCCCGAATTCCCTTTGTAACTGAGAACATTTCTATAATTACGTCCTACTTTCTCTCTATATTTCCACAGTGGTACAGAGTAAATCCTGACAGGTAATTGGCTTAGTATATAGAGGATCTCCTGCATCCTGCATACACCTCAATGCGGTGACCCGCTGGAACAAGATGGTGGTGCCAGTGAAGGACCAGTTCAGGCAAGTAACTCACCTTTACCTGCCCACCCAGCCACCGTACCCCCAGTGGCGGTGTCACAATCAGGCGTCTTTGCAAATTTCGCAAGGCAAGGGGGATTCGGAAGAAACTATAGGGATCAAGAGATCAAGGTTGCATTATGTTATGCAACCGTTGGAGGTTAGTTAGTTAAGTTAGTTAAAACTAGCAACTGGGAAGCCATAGCTGCCCAGTCACTAGAAAGGACCCATCAAAATATAAAAAGGAGGGAGAGAAGGGCATAGTCGCCCTGCTCTGTTGGCATCTGGTGGGGGACATTTGATTTAAGTAATGGGTGTGGATAGATTATCTATCCCCCTGCTCCACCCATATCAGCAGGTTAATAAAATAATTTGTTAATAAAATAAACATATGGACAACCTTACGTTCCACCCTCACCAATGTTCAGTGGTTGGAAGAGATTATCATATTCAGAGGGAGGGCCTAGTGTTCTCCACACATTGATGATGGGTAGGGACCTCAACTATAATTTTCAGGGAAGATGTTCTACTGTCCCTCCCAATCCCATGCTGGCGGTGTGTGGAGACTTGAAGTAAACAATGGCAGGGAGATAGACATTCTGTCATGATAGCTGTGAGGAAAACGTACTTGTCTATTGAGGTTCTCACAGTCTCCTCCATAGACATCAGTGTTGTACTCTCACACATGTGCAAGAGTACGAACACTGATATGGGCTCCTGGCAGATGAAGTGCTAGGAGATAAAGAGGATCTCTCAGATGGAGATGGGGGCAGTCACGAGGGACAGCATCAGGTAAGTAAAACCTTCACCTTCCCTGCCTTTCTGGGCCACAGCACACCATGTTACAATGTCACCATTGGGGATCTTTGCAAAATATCCAAAGCTCCCAGAAGATCAGAGCCGCTTTAAAAACCAAATGGCACTGAGAATTGCAGGGTCCCAATACCTCATTGCAGCACCAGGATATACATGTTACTGTGTGATTGAGGAACACAGGAGTCATGCTTCTAGGCTGTGTTATGTTGTAGAAAAATAATACTGCCTCGTGACAAACCACAAGACCAACAGCTGAACATTTTCACTAGAAAGTTTTTCATTTTATGCATTCTTTTTCTGGTATCAGCAAGCCTACTTTTTTATTGTGAGATTATTCACAAGCAATACATTTGCAATTATGATTGGAAAACCTCAAACAAAGTCATAGTGATACATAGTATAAATTTACATTCTTTGATGATTAACATTCAATTATTAAATATATCCATGTAATTTAAGATTTGTTCATTATTGATTGAAAGGTATCTGCCAAAGCAGACTTTTTCAAGTTGAAACAAATTATCTGAACATCTTACACTTAAATTAAAAGATGATATGAATATTTATAGCATTGGGTAACAATATCTCAAAAATATATTCTCTTTAGATTAGTTAAAGGATGCAGGTAGGATATTATTAATATATAACATTTTGGGGCAGGTTTAAAAAAAAAAAGAAAAAACTTACTGTAAATAATTTTTCTCTTAGTATAGGGGCAGTATAAGAGGGATGTTCTTCCTTAAAGCGGGACGGTCATGCCCAACATACCTTTGTTTAATCAATTCCTCTTCTCTTCCTCGGTCAGGATGTGTTCTTCATTTCTTCCTGTCTGCTCTAGTTTTCTTTAAAACATAAGACAAAGTAGGGACTACTTTGTCTTATGGAAGTTTCCTACGCTTTACCAACTTTCAAACAACCAATCAGAGCGTTATGAGTCAAATTACACAGCATGGGAACAACTTTCCCACGATTTGTAAAATGACACAGAGCACTCTGGTAGGATTTCAAGCCTACCAATCAGAGTGCTGTGACAGGTAAATTTAGAGACTTACCTGTCAGTCTCTTCATTTACCTGTGAGAGCACTCTGATTGGTTGGCTTGGACGTGGAAAGGCTTTATAAGACTTTCCCTGCCTGCAAAGCTCATTCTGCACCAGGCTCTCCATGGATTAAGATGGATTTTTTTCAAATTAGATTTTAAGTAGTAACAGATATATATTTGTAAAGAAATCATAGAAATAAGACCACAAACACAATAATAAAGAGAAAAATAAATTTTCTCATTCTAACACAAAAAGTTTATAAAAAAAATGAAGATATATATTTTCTTTTTTGATAATGGACACTTTTTTAGACACATGGTGATGATAATTATAATATAAAAATATAATACAAGGAGTTGAAATAGCCACAATGTAAAATGTACTACTTATTTAATTTTTTTTTTTCTCTTGCACTTCCACTTTAATATGTTATAATTCTTAAACAAAAGAAAAATGTAATAGAGGTTGAAGGGCTTGATTTATTCTTAAATGTTTATATAAACAAATTAGATTTTATGTAGTAACAGATATATTTGTAAAGAATCATATAAATAAGACCACAAAATAAGACCACAAACACAACAAAGAGAAAAATTAATTTTCTCATTCTAACACAAAAAGTTTATAAAAAATCAAGAAGATATACATTTTCTTTTTTGATAATGGACATATTTCTAGACACATGGTGATGATAGTTCTAATATAAAAATATAATACGAGGAGTTGAAATAGCCACAATGTAAAATTTATGTATATTACTACTTATTTAAATTTTTTTTTTTTTTTTTTTTTACGAAAGAGGTACTAGCAGAAGAGGAGATGATTTTAGGAGAAAGAAAGAGATAAAGGGAAGGGGGAAATATATTCTTCCTCTCATATAGAAATATGGCTATCCTTTCCCTTATCTGTTTAGAGACCACTGTAGAATAAGGCTTATTAGATTAGTCCGCGATACTTTCGAGGAGGGTCTTCTTTAACTTTTCCCCAATTAACTCCATATTAATCTGGAGTTTGGTTCACATACCCTGGGTTTTGGGTTGTGTTATTTGATCTCCACCAAGAGGGAGTGGAGATGGGGTTTTTTTTACGGTCATTGTGGATAACCTCATGTTTAATTCTCATGAGGTTATACAAATGTAATTGGTGTATATGTTATGTAAATTTTTGGTTTTGTTTGCACAATGCTGAGAGAGATAATCGTGAGATACAGGATGATACTCTATGGTCAAGTTCATGACATTAAATGCGCAGGGACTAAATAACCCAAACAAAAGAGCCATGGTATTTCAATACATTAAAAAGGAGGGAGCAAAAGTTATATTACAAGAGACTCATTGGTTAAAGCAAGATATAAACCGCTTTATCCCAAAAAGTTTTTATATTTAACTTTTCTCTTCATTAGAGAGGAAAAAGAAATGTGGGTTCGCCTTTTTAGCTACAAATTATTTGGATATCCAAGTTACATATCAAGATATAGATAAAAATGGCAGGTATATTTTAAGAATATGTAAAATACAAAATGAAGAATTTACTATTGCCAATATCTATGCACCTAATGTTGATGCTGTTCAGTTTATACAAAAAATATTTTTCAAATTTAAAAAAAAGGCAAGATGATTATAGGGGGGGATTTCAATTGTATCATAGATGGAATGTTTGACAGAATTTCATTAACAGGGGTTACTCAAGATAAAAAAAGCAAGAAAACATCAAATCGTCATGTTTAATATATAAATATGGTTTATTGGATTTATGGAGGATTAATCATCCCCTAGAAAAAGATTTTACCTGCTTTTCCAAAGCCCACTGTACATATTCTAGATCAGACTTATTTTTAGGGTCTGTAGAGATTTCCTATAGAATCAAGAAGGTCCTGATTCAAGAAGTTACCTGGTCAGATTATAACCCTTTAATATTAGATCTTGTTATAACGCCAGATAATAAGATAAGGAACAGCTGGAGACTAAATTAATCTTTGTTAAAAAACGCTCAGGATATTGAAATCATAAAAGATCTAACTAATCGTTTTTTTTTAAGATAATAAAAATAAAGGCACCTCAGACGCAATAGTTTGGTGCACATACAAGGCAGTCTTGAGGGGTCATTTTATTAAAATGGGCTCAATTAGAAAAAAAAATAAGGAAGCTTCCTTAACAGAATTCTACATCTCTCTTTATTACTTAACAAAATCTAATAAAAACAACCCATCTATACAATTAAGTGGGAAAATAGCAATATTAAAGAATAAAATTAATGAAATTCTACTCCAACAAACTTAAAAAAAAACTGGCGTACTTAAGAATAAAATGGTACTAGAGAGGTAATAGGGCAAACAAAATGCTTACAAAGAAGATTAAAGGTAAAAAAATGAATGTCAATACAGAAAATTATAACAGGAAGGGCCTCAATTAACTCCAGAAAAAATAGGTAAAGCATTCAATTCTTTTTATCAAAACTTATATAATTTACCTAAGCAACCACATAATCCAGAAATATATTTTCAAAATAAAAGTCTTACAAAACTTTCGATTGAACAACTGAGTTTTATCAATGAACCTTTCTCAGAAATTGAAATTAGGAAGGCAATTGATTCTTTAAAAAAAATAAATATAAAACTCCAGGGCGGATGGGTATTCTAATTTGTTTTACCAACAGTTTAAAGAAGTTCTGGTATTACATCTTAAAGATCTTTTCAACAACATAGTTAAGGAAAAAAGATATACCCAAAGAATTATTATATGCAAATATAATTTCTATACAAAAGCCAGATAAACCTATGGAATACGTAAAGAACTATCGCCCTATATACAGTTGCAAGAAAAAGTATGTGAATCCTTTGGAATATGGATTTCTGCGCAAATTGGTCATAAAATGTGATCTGATCATCATCTAAGTCACAACAATAGACAATCACAGTCTGCTTAAACTAATAACACACAAAGAATGAAATGTTGCCATGTTTTTATTGAACACACCATGTAAACATTCACAGTGCAGGTGGAAAAAGTATGTGAACCCCTAGACTAATGACATCTCCAAGAGCTAATTGGAGTGAGATGTCAGCCAACTGGAGTCCAATCCATGAGATGAGATTGGAGGTGTTGGTTACAGCTGCCCTGCCCTATAAAAAACACACCAATTCTGAGTTTGCTTTTCACAAGAAGCATTGCCTGATGTGAATGATGCCTCGCACAAAATGTTGACTTGTATAAAGCTGGAAAGGATTATAAAAGTATCTCCAAAAGCCTTGCTGTTTATCAGTCCACGGTAAGACAAATTGTCTATAAATGGAGAAAGTTCAGAACTGCTGCTACTCTCCCTAGGAGTGGCCGTCCTGTAAAGATGACTGCAAGAGCACAGCGCAGACTGCTCAATGAGGTGAAGAAGAATCCTAGAGTGTCAGCTAAAGACTTACAAAAGTCACTGGCAAATGCTAACATCCCTGTTAGCGAATCTACAATATGTAAAACACTAAACAAGTATGGATTTCATGGGAGGATACCACAGAGGAAGCCACTGCTCTCCAAACAAAACATTGCTGCACGTTTACAGTTTGCACAAGAGCACCTGGATGTTCCATAGCAGTACTGGCAAAATATTCTGTGGACAGATGAAACCAAAGTTGACTTGTTTGGAAGAAACACACAACACTATGTGTGGTGAAAAAAAAGGCACAGCACACCAACATCAAAACCTCATCCCAACTGTGAAGTATGGTGGTGGGGGCATCATGGTTTGGGGCTGCTTTGCTGCGTCAGGGCCTGGACGGATTGCTGTCATCGAAGGAAAAATGAATTCCCAAGTTTATCAAGACATTTTGCAGGAGAACCTAAGGCCATCTTTCTACCAGCTGAAGCTCAACAGAAGATGGGTGTTGCAACAGGACAACGACCCAAAGCATAGAAGTAAATCAACAACAGAATGGCTTAGAAGAAAATACGCCTTCTGAAGTGGCCCAGTCAGAGTCCTGACCTCAACCCGATTGAGATGCTGTAGCATGACCTCAAGAAAGCGATTCACACCAGACATCCCAAGAATATTGCTGAACTGAAAATGTTCTGTAAAGAGGAATGGTCAAGAATTACTCCTGACCTTTGTGCACGTCTGATCTGCAACTACAGGAAACGTTTGGTTGAAGTTATTGCTGCCAAAGGAGGTTCAACCAGTTATTAAATCCACATACTTTTTCCACCTGCACTGTGAATGTTTACATGGTGTGTTCAATAAAAACATGGCACAATTCATTCTTTGTGTGTTATTAGTTTAAGCAGACTGTGATTGTCTATTGTTGTGACTTAGATGATCAGATCACATTTTATGACCAATTTGTGCAGAAATCCATATCATTCCAAAGGGTTCACATACTTTTTCGTGCAACTGTATTAATAAGTAAATGTTAATAAAATAACAATTGTGACACTGAAGTGCGTGAACTGATGCAAGATTGTTTCTAAGTAGAGTGATTCCTTAATATAGTGTTATACTATGTATTGTATTACAAATCATTATTACGAGAAATAAATAGACAAGGGCAAATAGAGCAATAATCAAAGCTACACACTGCCTAAATTTATCGGAGAGTCATTACAAGATTATTAATAGATGGCATTACGTTCTAGCTAAATTAGCAAGAATGTATTCAGAAACACATAATGTGTGTTGGCGATGTGCCTCTCCTAGAGCAGATTATGTCCACATTTGGTGGTCTTGCCAGATATTTCACCTATGGCAAAAGGTTGCGAAATTCTGTAAGGAAGTGATAGAGGTAGATCTAGATTTCTCTTGTAAATCAATGATTTTACATCTCGGATGGCCCGTAATCCCAAAGGATAAAAAATAACCAATTATACATATATTTACAGAAACTAAAGCTACTCTTGCAAGATATTGGAAGATCCCAGATTCTCCCCTTTGTGAGATGATAAAACATCAGGTGATGAATAATTGTAAAATGGAGGCAGGGATACTGAGACAAGATAACTATTTCAATCCACCAATAGAACAATGTGGGAATTGGATTACAAAATTAGGAAGTGAGATTTAGTATGTCATATGTCTTGCCACATGGAGGACTTAGTTGGGTTAGATGGTTCCTGGGTGCAAAGTCTATAGTTTAAGATGGGTAAATTGATGGGAATAAGGTGGGTAAAGAAGAGAAACAATAAAAGGGAGAAATTAAAGGGAAATAAAAAGAAAGAGTTAGAAGGAGAAGGGAAAGTAAAACTAAAAGTTTATTGTTAAATCTCTCTCCTCCATTTCCCTTCAAGTAGCACACGATAATCTCTCAGCAAAGTATATATGTAAGTTGTATTTGTTTACTTATTTTTTATTTATTTTTTTCTCTGCTGGAACAGGCGATGAAAAAGAGAATTTAGAAAGGAAAATACAGCAATAACAATGTATTCCACCCGATGTTTAGATTTCTAGTATGCTTATGTGCAATATATTTATAATATCCTGCTTCAGAAGGGTTTTTGTATGTTTTCTATGGTATATGTAACTGTATTTATGTCTTTGTCTTGTACATTGTATGGAAAAACAAAAGAAAACTTATAAATATATATAAAAAAAAAAAAGATGGATTTTTTTTAGCGTCTGTTTTTTTTTTTTTTGCGCCCTGGTTTTTTTTCCCCAAAGTGCGACAGGTATCATGGACTTTTATTTGGCTTTTTTGGGGGGCTGAAAAAAGATTTTCGAGTAAAGAAGACATCAAATGGTAAGTTTTATTTAGTTTTTACAGGTATTTAGTTCTCTTGTTCCCCCCCCCCTCACTATTTTTAGGGTGAGAGGGGTAGGTAGGGGTTTATTTTTTTTGGGGGTGGGGGGTTAACATTTTCATTTAGTGCCCCCACCGGCCACTTATGGGTGGGGGCCGGGGGAGGACAACAGGGTCCCCCCCCCTTATTGTTATTTAGGGTCCCCACCCGCCACTTGGGGGGGGGGGAAAGGTGGGCAATAGATCCCCCATTCAGTTTAGGACACTAGGGTTTTTTTTTTTCTTTCTACAGTGAGCAGCCACAACTTAGTATTAGCAAATTTGGCTGAAAGAGCAATTTAGGTCTTTCAGCCTTTTGGTAGATAGCTCTCTGATACTATAGGAATTAGAGAGCTATCTACTAAGCGGCTGCAAGAAGCAGCCGCAGCCCGAATAGAATCGGAGTTTCATTAATTCGAATGAAATTCCAAACCGAACAAAGTCCCGAATGTCGTCCTAACACGAATGGAGAAACTGTTCTCATTCTGTTAGGATGAATTTCGGTAGTTTCGCCAGTGTTCTGTCTAAGTGACAGGACGTTCGGGAATACTGACACGGATCAAAGTTGAGAATTGTGGGAAAATTGCTTTGATCACCAGAAATGAAGCACACTTTGCTCCTCCGTTGGTCAGGTGTATGAAACCTTTATAAGACAAATAGTCCCTGCTTTGTCTTATGTTTTAAAGAAAAGTAGAGCAGACAGGAAGAAATGAAGAACAGATCCTGACAGAGGGAGAGAAGAGGAATAGATTAAAGAAAGGAAAGTTCGGCATGACAGTGCCACTTTAAGGTGGACAAGTAGCCTCTAGAATTAAATATGTAAATTAAAAGACAAAATCTACCTTCATACCTTAAATAACCACAAGCTGCCCACATCATCAGCAATAGCAAGAAAAAAAAGAACCAGGAGACCAGATACTGCAAAAATATCTAAATACTTTATTATACAGGGGGAAATCTGTACTGCTGCTATACTAAGGAAAACAATTATTACGGTAAGTAAAATTTTAGTTTTTCCCGGCAAATAGCGTCAGTACAAAGGAATATAATAAGATCCCAAACCGGCTGGGAAGTCATGATACAGCAGCAGACAGCAACTTACACCCAAAAGCAGCTTCTGAGGATACAAAGATGTCTAGCCCGTGACGGATGAAGGTACTGATTAATGACCAAGTTGCCGCCTTACACGTCTTCAGGATAGGCCTATGCCTTTGCTTTCCAAGAAGTAGCCATAGCTCTTGTGGAATGAGCTTTTACATTAGTAGAAAGAGATTGACCACTGACTTCAAAGGCCATTTTGATAGCTTCTGTTAACCACTTGGCGATAGTCGCCTTTGATGACTATTTACTTTTATGTGCACATTGAAAATGAATGAAAAGGCGATCGGAGATCCTGAAGGATGAAGAACAATTAATGTAATTAATAAGTGCAACATGGCTTCTACCGAAATGGAAGGTGGTCAGCACAGAGTGGGCAGAAAACTGGGCTGGTTAATATTGGCTTTGGAGACCACCTTTGAAAGACACAAAGGTATCAGATTAAGTACAACCTTGGTGAAACATGGTGAAATTTAGACAGAAGGAAAGCACTTGGAGTTTGCCTACACTTTTAGTTGATGTAATAGCGATAAGGGCTTAAAGGAGACTTCGTCCAGTGGTTCAAAAGGAGCTTCACACAAGTAGTGGAGTACCAAGTCAGAAGATGAAAAGGACCTCTGCCTTTTCTTTCCTTTTCTGGCTCAGTCCCGGACAAATATATGAATCCCAGGATTTAGTGGTGTTGTCTTTAAATGCTTCAAAATGTCTGGGAGAGGTTTTCCTGGAAGCAGTTGAGAAACGTATACATCTCCTTTTGTTTAACTCTGTTGAGCATTGGTTACAAATCTTTTTCCTACAGCTGTCCAGCATGGGGGTGGCACATTCAATACAAATTAGATGCTTAGTTTTACAAGACGTCTTAAATCTTGGAGCTGGGTTAATAGGCCCTTTACTTACCTGACCCCAGCGCCAATGTCCCTCACGTATTAGTCCTCCCCATAGGAAAGCATTGAATCAATGCTTTCTTAAGGGGAACAATCTGAAGCAGAAGGTCCTCATGCAGAGCGTGAGGACATCCAGCGTCAGATAACGAACCAAAAGTCTCTTACGATTTGGGAAGCCCTATAAAGGCTGTCTGATAGACAGCCACTTAGGGCAGACTTAGAGCTGCAATGTAAACATTGCAGTTTCTATGGAACTGCAATGTTTTACATTGCAGCACTAAGTGCAAAAAGGACAAAGCACCCAGACCGCTTGAGCGAGCTGAAGTGGTCTGGGTGCCTACAGTGTGCCTTTAAGCCAATGCCAGTTACCATTAGAATTATTTTGCACTAGAGCTGAATGTAACATTGTTCATAATGGCAGTTTAAGAAATGCAGATATCTGCATCCACCTGTTCTACTTGTCATAATGCTTTTATACTGTGCTACATTTACAACAGTCTCATTAGCTCTGGAAAGGGACAATGTTACATTTATACAGTACATAGTTTTCACTGTATACCACACCTTCAGCTAATGCAAGTTTTGTACAAAGCTGTATTCCACATAGTTCCTGGAATTCAATAACACCTGTGGCAAATCAGCATTTACCCACACTGATTATTTTAACAAAATTAGTTGGGTTCCTTCAAAAACTGCTTTAACTACACATTAGTACCTTTAAAGACAGACAAGGGCTCCAAGGGGCAAAAAATAAAGGCACTAACCAAAGTGTAAGCCTCATGTATTGTACAATAAATAGTAGCACCATAAGCATGTGCACTTTTAGGTCTATGCAAATTAGGGAGTTTCTCAACTTTTAGGAGATATTAATGGGATTAACATTACAGAAAAACAAATATTCAATGCTTTGAGTAATGCAGGGCTTGAGAATCTTCACTACAATCTAGGAGTCAGTAGAAACAATATTAGCATTAGTAGAGCTTATTTTTTTTTGTTTTGTATATATTACACATAAAAATGTATAGGTTGATTTTTACCATGACACAAACCAGCTAGGCTGATGGCTGTGTGTCCTGGAAAACAAACTGCATATTTGAATTGTAGCGGTGGGTATCTCTGCATCATTTCAACCAATAAAAAAAACTATTATGGCCATCGTTAAAATAAGACCAGACAAGATATTTAAGTGCAGGGACAAGAGGAACATCCCGCAAACATATCCTATCCCAAAGGTCCTGCCTAATAATATAACAAAAGAGCAAGCCATCACACGACAAGTATGAAAACAAACATTTCCTTACTACTGCAGGATGCAAACTAACTCAAAACAACCAACCAACCAACCAATCTAGGCTAGCCTGTGAGACTATTAAAGGACCACTATAGTGCCCCCACCCTCAGGGCCCCCCTCTCGACGGGCTCTAGGGGGTGGAAGGGGTTAAATTTAGCTCTTTTTCCAGCACCGGGTGGGGGACCCTCCGCCTCCTTATCGGCTGAATGCGCATGCGCAGCACGAGCCGCGCGCGCATTCAGCAATGCTTTCATATGGACGCTGGCGTCTTCTCACTGTGAAAATCACAGTGAGAAGCGCAGAAGCGCCTGTCAATGAGACAGCCACTAGAGGCTGGATTAACCCTATTATAAATATAGCAGTTTCTCTGAAACTGCTATGTTTATAGAAGAAAGGGTTAATCCTAGCTGGACCTGGCACCCAGACCACTTCATTAAGCTGAAGTGGTGTGGGTGCCTATAGTGTTCCTGTAAACAGTCACACTGACTGATTAGCCACCAATCATAGCAAGGTAGCCATCAACAGTCACCTAGTCAGGCAGAAGTACCAGCCACTGTTTAACTATCCATCATTGAAAGTTAAATGACACTAGTAATTAACAGAACTTTTTATTTGAACCTGTAGCTTTATTAATCTAGCTAATCTTTAACAGATGTCTCTAAATGAATACTATATTAGCAGATTTATATTTCATTTTTTTTTTAAATGTGTGGGCCGTATTATGTGCGTACATTTATGGATTCAAAGTGACCCTCTGCATTAGAGTCCAATTCTGTTGTTGGGTATTTCTATTTCAAGATCAAATTTCTGTTCCATTATATGAACACTTTCAATTTCCTTCTCCTGGGAAATATATTATATATATCAGAGCAAATAGTGACATATATTGATGTTGCCATTTTGTAATAAAACATTTATACCATTTATTTTGAGGTTTTATCATAAACATAATTATTTTCTAACTCTCCAGAAAATTTGACATTAATCTTCATTGCTAATATGTACAGTGTATTTATGGTGGTATATTTGTTTCTAAAAACATCACCTTGGATTTTACGTTTCAAAATAAAATTTTAAAATCCTTTGCTTAATTTTCTTTTCTTGCACCAACAGCTATGGACAGGCCATACTAAATAGGCAATTTCAAAAGCAATGCGATTTCAAAGTGTTAATCAGTAATTAGGTCTGGCATGTACATTTTGTTGGTAAATTGTGGAACTACTGTCACCTGTAAAATTTGGAAGGCATTTAATGCTTTTGAATGGAAATACTAAGCTAAGTCAAGCTATCTATAAAGGGTTGTTCAGGGAATAAAAATAGAAATGTTTTTTACGTTGCTTGAGTACATATTTTGATATGTTATATTTTTATATTATAAAAAAATTATTTTAAAAATGTTTACCCACATATATTGAAGGAACACTATAGGGTCATGAACATATATTTCTGGCCCTATAGTGTTAAAAACTCAATCTAGCCCCCCATCTCACACCTTCTTGCCCTACTAAATATAGTAAAATATTACCTTTATTCCAATCTGCTGGTCCTGGCTCTACCACGGAGCTGCCTCTTTGGCTGACATAATCAGAACTGATGATCTCAGCGAATCACAATGCTTTTAAATATGATAGCATTGGATTGGCTAAGATTGTCAATGAGAAACATGCATTTTCTTGTCTGCTGCCTTTGCAAACCCTCCCCTTCTAACCCCGTCTAGACTTTCTGTAGCTTTCCAATCAGAGAATTCCCAATTCTTAATTAGAAGTGTTTGCAAGGAAAGGTGCTCTGTGCAATTGCTGCCTCTTGAGTTTAGCTCATCTGAGCTAACCAAATCAGGAAGGAACAGGACCAGCAGTCTGCTTGAAAGCCAGGGGGGGCGTAACCAGCTTAATTTACAAGTGTCAATTTCTATTGAAATCTGCACTTTTTGCAAAATGAAAAAAAGAGGACATACTCTTCACACATAAAGCTGATCAGCAAGTTAAAGTTGGAGTGTCCCTTAAAAAAATTGTAAAAATTTTTTAAAAAATTACTAAAAAGGTTAGCTATTCGGTCACTTTGGCATGAAATTTGAAATAGATTTAGAATTTTCACTTTAGTGAATAACCCTGATAATGTTATTTACTAAAGCAAGAATTCAAAGTTGATATAGATTTTAAGGGCAAAATAGCTGAACTGGAAACATTCTTCAAGACAGCTACACTTCCAATGTAACTATTTTTGCTACTCATTTGAAAAAAACAGACCCTACATCTATCCTCTATCTAAACACAAAGTTTCACAGCATACATTTACATAACAACACTAATAGTTTGCAAACACTCTACTGCAGCCCACTGCTGGACAAAACTCTACAACTAATCAATTACAACATAATACCCAAGTTACAGCTCTTGAGTAACTCCAGAACTAAGCTCAAGGCCAGCACTGGCAGGAAATGTTTCACCCAGTCCCATGGTTAATATCTATCTTGCTTAGATTTCATATAAAAATAAAATAAAAAACTTTTGTTATCCTGTTGCCTCAAGAATACTCTTCTGCAGATAGATCTAGGTTTAAAAAAAAACAAAAAAAACAAAAACAAACTAGGACCCAATTGAGAAATAAGTTCACCCCAAGAAGTGTTAAAGTTTAAAAAAAAAAAAAACATTTTAGAAGTAAAGTCACAACTACAATCTTTAGAAAACACAACCTTTCTGACAGAATGAAAAAAATAAAAATAAACTTGATACACAACTTTCCACAAACAAATCTTCAGCTGCATGATTTTTTTTTTTGATTTTTTTTTTTTTATTGCATGGCCAATTTTTAAATACCATCTTCAAAATAAATTATTTGGCACACAGGTACTGTGTACGTGATCACTCACGTATCTTAGATGCTTGCTATCTAATCTTTATCTCCAGAAGGATATTGATACTTTAGAGAGAGTTCAGAGAAGGGCTACTAAACTGGTTCATGGATTGCGGGATAAAACTTACCAGGAAAGGTTAAAGGATCTTAACATGTATAGCTTGGAGGAAAGACGAGACAGGGGGGATATGATAGAAACATTTAAATACATAAAGGGAATTAACACAGTAAAGGAGGAGACTATATTTAAATGAAGGAAAACTACCACAACAAGACAACATAGTCTTAAATTAGAGGGGCAAAGGTTTAAAAATAATATGCGGAAGTATTACTTTACTGAGAGGGTAGTGGATTAATGGAATAGCTTTCCAGCTGAAGTGGTAGAGGTTAACACAGTGAAGGAGTTTAAGGATGCGTGGGATAGGCATAAGGCCATCCTAACTATAATATAAGGCCAGGGACTAATGAAAGTATTAAAAAAATTGGGCAGACTAGATGGGCCGAATGGTTGTTATTTGCCGTCACATTCTGTTTCTATGTTTAAAACCAACATGTCACTCACTCAAGACTGAGCTTCAAAAACAAAACTCTCTCCAAATCTAATTTTTTGTTTGAATGGTTAAAGTTTAGTGACCAACCACATTTAATAAAAAAAACATTTGTACTAGTATGTACAAATGTCATCTATCAATCTATTTTAAAAGAAAGGGTAGAGATTAAAAAAAAAAACTCATAGATCATTGTGCTTTTAATATTCATATCATGAACCACTGCATTTCAAATGCAAACAAGATACATTCAAATGAATATATTTATGAGTGTTCACAGATATGGATAACAATATGCACCCATTAAAGGAGGCACATCAATAACGAAGTATGCCTCTATACATTTTACTATATCACTACAAAGATTTCATTGTGCATTTCAACACTGCCTGTACCAAAAATTATTTTTAAATAATAAATGGGACAATTTATTACAGAACTGTACCATTTATTTTACACACAAATATGTCAGTTCTCTTGGTTTACAAAGGCTGCTAACAAAAAAATATGGAATGTTAAAGTATTGTCTTGCATAAAATAAAGTACGTGTTGTACTTTCAGAGGAATCAAACAGCAGTCTACTAAGGTTGACTGAAATGTAATACTTTGTTTAATACATCAAACAACCCATACACTTTATAATAGCCCACCGTCGTGTACCACCTCACCTCTTCAGCTTCAACACAAAAATTATAATTTGATTCATCTAATCAACTTCTATTCAGAAAAAGTCCATGTTTCTACTCACTCTGGAACATTGACTGAGGTGTAAGCTTGTATTTATGAATTACTGAGCTCATTTTTATATTTAAAAGGAGGTCATGGCTGACTTCTTGTTGTAGTCCATGAAAATTTGTCCCTTTGAAAAATAATTTCACTTAGGAAGAGACATTCACTGGGGCTGGATTTTTGTCATTTTGTTTTCGGTCAGTTTGAAGCTCTCGGTCATGACTCTCCATTCTGGACCTTGGCTACTGGTGGATGCATGAAGTCCTTAAATGGAACTAAAGCTTCTTTAAGAGCTGTACACACCTCCGAGGACGAACACGTGATGCATTCCACAAGGGTAGGATACAAAGAGATTACCTGAGCCCAGGTGTTACCATCAACTGCAACAAAACAGATCTCATGGTTACATGTGAAATTTAAAGAAATAAACAGATTGCAACTGAAAGAACCATCAGACATATCTGGTAAAGGAAACAGTCTTGTTCCATTCTATAAGGAGACTAAACAGGTAGTATTGTTTCATGGTATTCTTACAAGAATAAAACTACTCCTCTTCTTAGAATAGAGAAAACAAGAGAAACTTTCAAAGGTAGCGTTTATGAAGTTACAGTTTTGTGCATTAAAACAAATGATTCTAATTTGTTCAGTAAAAAAATCCATCAGTACAAATTATATTTCTTTAAAATAATTTCGACTATCGCGCATTTTGAGTTAAAACAAAAAAATGCTTGCTCCAGGCCACCCCTGATATCTTTCCTAATGCAGTATCTATCACTGATAAATATAACAGCATGAGTACGAATATATTGGACTACTTACCATAAAATAAAAATTATAATTTTTACTGTTGTTCCTCATATGTCCCACCATAGTTAACTATCCTCTTAAAACTAAACCCCCAACATTCCTACTCTTGTATTAAT